CGCAAGGTTTGGCTACTTTGTAAACTGCAATCCCTTCCCACTATTTCAATACTGAAGGCGACAAAACTCTTTCTACATAGCGATCCAGTGATTGATTTCCTAGAGATCAAATGTTCAAATACAAATTTGATACGATCCGAGATAATTTTTCACATAGATTATGGTAGAAATAAATTAGTTTATTCCTCTAATACCAAAACGAACCAATACAATGCCACACAACGAATACATAAACTATAAGCACTAACAGTTCGAGAGGTAGATGATCTCCAAAATCCTCCAATTTGAGAGATATGAAATCTCTCCCAAACCTTAATCCTAAGACAACCACAATCTCATGCATACTAAAAATAATAAAAAACAAAAGACTAAATTGTCCTTTGGCTAGGCCGGCTTAACATATCCCCTGTTTAAGTACCACATACCTTTACGAGTCTTAATATGTAGGCATATATACAAAAAGGAAATCATATGTTAAATTTTCATACTCATATTAAATTGTCCCATGACATCAGTAGCAGTCTGTGTTATAGATGTAGTAATAGATGTGTTTTTCTGTTACTCGTACAAAATTTTATCTAGCATTTTCTTGTGCATTTGGATTTTATTTTTCTAATAGAACGCGCATATGGTGCTCAATTTTATTGAAATAGTGACAAGTGGCCCTAAGCATGAAATTTATAAATGATCTAGAGCCTTTTGTATGCATGCTTCCTAGAAATGAATCTTCAATTGTTTACATGTCGGTTATCTTTTAGCAAATCAGTTCATTTTCACGCTTGCTGAACGAAGAAAATTTTTAAAATAGCTTTGTATTTATATTTCTAAGGAGAAACATGTAAAAATAATATGTTGATTAATTTGACATTTTTTTAGACTGGAGCTAAAATAGCCCCACATTACTCAAGGAACTATTTTGGCACTTTAATCTTTTCTAAGCTTGTGGCACTCATTTTTTAATGTCATTTATATGAATCTTTAAGCAAGCATGTTCTTTCTTTAAACTAAGGATTTTCTTTTCAGGTTAACAAAATTCTTCCTGCAGTTCTATTACTATTTCAAACTCTTCATAAGAAGGATCAATATCTTATACCTTATAGACAATCCAAAAGATCGTCTTAATTTGTGAGGCAATTGCTGACCAATATTACCTAGAGTCATTATCTATATTAATATAGTTGATTGGTCTTCCAAGGTGGTATATTTTATTCCTTTTCTAATGTTGTTGATGTCTCTAATTTAAAAAAAAAAGAAATGTGTTATTTAAGGAGATTTCAAATGTAATAACATGTTAAAAAAATAAATATTATTTAATTAATTTAAATAATATAATATAATAATAATTTACTTATGCCAGTGCCATTTAGAGAAGTTTCGCTTGCTGGAAATCAAATGAGGATTTATCCTCATTATGTTTCAAACTGAACAAGAGAGTCAGGGAAACAAGTGAGACTCAGAGAAAGGAGGTGGAAGATGTATTGTACGAAGGAAGACGTCATCTTGTTTGGTTGCTTGTGGTGCAGCGTTGTTTCTGTGAGGAGCTTACGAAATCGAAGCTGAAACCAAAGACTTACATGCATCATCGTCTGCGTGCGAGAGGAGATGAATTGGGCAATTTGGGTAAGAGAGAGAAGTTCGTGCCCTAGTCAAGAAGTAGATGAAGAAGAGAAAGGGGAAAGAAGCTTGAGATTGCTTGTTTGAAGGAGGGAGTAGAGTTCTGTGTGTGGCTTTGTGTAGGAGACAAACAAGGAAGCCAAATCAAGCAGGAGATTGCTTTCATGCGAGAGATTAGAGGGAATTGAGAGCTTATAGGGTAAGTAGGGTTTATTTAAATTAGCATTCTTTTTATATTAAATTTTATTTAAGTTTAAGTGCTAATGTACATTAGTTTCATGTTAATTAAAAATAAGAAATTTAAGTGGAATGAATGATATTTGGTTTGAGATGATGAGAATAGACGACAGTGGTGGAAAAATGTTTAGGTAAATGAAATTAACATTTTAAATTTATTAATTTAAATTTGATGTTTATTATAATATTAATGTTAAATCATATTAATTATTAGCATAATCAAGATTAAGATAAAGTGATTGTAAGATACATGAACTAGATCATTTGACTTAAAATAAGATTAAGTTGAGTAATTTTATTTCTAAATTACAGTAGTATTTTTTATTTTAAAATGTATTTTGATTTTAGTTTTTCACATTTTATGTTATATATCTTAGAGGCTTAGATTAGAATTGACTTTCTATTGCTTTGTATAAAGCATTCATATTAGCGATTATTTATAAACAGTTGCATTATAATTTTCCTAAGAAGAGGTTATATGGCTACATGATATGTTGATTCCAATATAGTTGCATGTATCAATTTATTGCATGACCTATAGATTTATTATGTTTGCATTATTTCATAAGAAAAGAATTTATGATATGAAAGAATAAATTAGTGTATATATGAATGCCTATATGTACATGCTAAGAGAAATTCACCCCCTTGTAGTACAAGCAAGGGACGCTAGTGTACCCGTGTGTGTGGATGTTTTTCTATCACCCCAGACAATTGTGATGTTTAGATCACTTATATTGGCTAGAGAATATCGACCAAAGACTTGTAGGCACCTTTCCAGCTCAGACAATTGTGTAAATTTGATCAAATAACTTTTGTGACGATTGGATTATATCGGTCAGGGTAATGATATGTTATATTTTGATGATGCTCTTAAGAAAGACATGAGACATAAGAATATAAAGTATACTAAAACTTAAGAGATTACAGATTAAAAATAATATAAAAGAGAATACTTGTTGCAATTCTAGATTTCTTCCATAAGCAATTATCAAGTATATACATTATCAATTATTATACGACTTTCTAGAATAGATTACTAGAGACCAACATATATATTATTTTATTTTCCTTGAGTTACTAAGTTTAGAATCGTGATTGCTCCATTGGTTTTCTTAGATAACTCATTTCATTGTTTTTAATATTTTTAAAGTTTTAAGATATTGAATAAAATGAATGCTGAAGAAGCTAATGTATATAGAAAAACGAAGTCAACAACTGGAAAGGTAAAATTTTTATTTGTTAATTAAAATACTTTATTTAGTGGCATTTTCAATTAGTACTTGAATATTAAGCTGATAATAATAGAATGAGAATAATAGACAACTTAATTTCACCGTTTAACTGTTTGTTCCTACTTAGATTAATTACAAGCCCCGGGTTTAGTCACGATATCTAATTCAAGTAATCTTTTTTCTTTAATCATGTTTGGTTGGGTTATTGTGTATAAAAGTTATTTTTGAAATTTATGATTTTTTTTTTCGGAACTGGGTTCAAGTTCCCTTTTAATTTACATTGTGAGACAATGATTAAGTTAAAATTGCTGATAGAAATTTAGGAGATCTATTTGATTTCTTCTATATAATAGTTCGGGCTATCTTGTTTTACTTATGGTTCCATTTGCTGATAATAATTGTTTATCTCATATCATTACTTATGATTCATAAATTAATTTTTGCGGCATCATTTGATGATCATAAACATGAATTGCATTCTGATATCAAAGCATACTTCACTTTGCAGAAACAATAAAATATAAAAACTATGGTAGAGTTTCTCAAGTTATTTTAAGATTATAGAAATGATTTGCTAATTTATATTTATTTTGGATGCTTTCCACATAGTAGCTTTAAGAAACTCTTTGCTTGAGCTTTTAAATCATATAAAGTACTTAAAAATCTTGGATAAAAGAAATATATTTAATTTCTATGAACATGAAAATTAATATTTCTTTCAACGTTGATGATTTAATATCCATATACAGGGTTTTTCATGTCAAATGATTCGTGGGTAACATATGACAAGTTGAAGTTCACTTCTCTCAACTTGATAAGTATCTTCAACATGGCTCTTTTTGAAGAGAGTTCATCAATTGATGATGACCATTTGATTACGATATTCTTTTCACACTGATGCTGTGATTAATTCATTATATTTTGATTTATTTTGTAATGATATTTTATTAAAAAAATGTCTTTTTTGGGACATATCTATTAGAGATAAGATTTTGGTTTATGTCTTATGTTGTTGTAATTATACTTGAGTTTTATGAATAAGACCTATGGTTGGTTATAATGGGTTAACAAACAATATATGCTTGAAAGAGGTCTGTTTTTATCTCATCTTGTTGTAATCCATTGCAATGCATAGAAGAAATGACAATTCTATTTCTAACTCTACACCGCAACAGTTAGTTTTTGCTACGTTTTCATATCTATCTGGATGGATCTCGTTATAAAGGTAGAACTTGCATACCCGCTGATATAATTCTATCTGGAGTCTCAACCCAATTAAATAGAGAGAAGGGGATGGAATTTAGTGATAACAGCTATGCTACTCACGCACTTCACATCACAAAGATAAGTTTGCTAACAAGGAATTTGTTACTCATTCAAAGCGGATGGTGTCGTACATATTTACTGTGATTAAGAAAATTGAGCATACTTTCTTATATCTTGTCGATAAGCATGCATTTTCTTAAAATGTTTTGCTTATGGGATACTAGGAAAATTGCTGGATTACTACTGATTGTTGAGCCATTTTAGTCCCAGAGTCTATCAAAAGTGTTAAATTAGTACTCTTTAATTTGGGGCTGAAATAGTCCACAGGCTTCAGCCCATATTGAAAATGTTTGATGGCTAAATTGACACTTTTATAGACTCTGGACTAAAATGACCCTTTGCAAAGAGTCATGGGACTGTTTTGCCACTAACATAAATTTTCTCAGACTGATAAACAATGGAAAAGAAGAAATCACTCTAATTCTCATCATATATTATGGTAAGCACATACGCAGCTTTTTGTTAGATGATGCAAAATCTTGTCTTTTATTGAACTTGGCACTTACTAGGCTTTATCTTCTCTAATGCTCATTTAGTTTTTTAGTTCCTTGAAGATTTGTTGTTTGAGGGTCTTAAATATGCTTACAGATGATGCGCGATGAACTGCTTTCTGGTGGGAAAGTATATCTTGTTTATCCAATTATAGAAGAATCAACGCAGTTGCCCCAGCTTCATGCCGCTAAAAGAGATTTAGCATCCATATCAAGCAAATTTGATAGCTATACTTGTGGGTTGCTGCATGGCCGCATGAAGAGTGAAGAGAAATATGAAGCCTTGAAAAAATTTAAATCTGGAGAAACACAAGTTCTTCTTGCAACTCAAGTAATTGAGATTGGTGTTGATGTTCCTGATGCCTCCATGATGGTTGTCATGAATGCTGAGAGATTTGGAATTGCTCAGCTGCATCAACTTAGAGGACGCGTTGGAAGAGGGATGCGGAAGTCGAAATGTGTTTTCTTCTCTTCAAATTCTGGGGCGCTTAACCGGCTCAAATTACTCGAACAATCATCCAACGGATTTAATCTGGCTATAGCGGATCTTCTTGTGCGTGGGCCTGGAAATTTACTTGGAAAGAAACAGTCTGGACACCTCCCAGATTTTCCCATAGCTAGATTGGAGCTTGATGGAAATATTCTAAGAGAAGCTCACCTTGCTGCACTGGTACTTATAATCACCTCGAGTCCTTTCATATTATTTCAAAAGTTATTTAGTCTTTATTATGACAATATCAGCATTTTTTTATGATTACAATGTAGCACTTTGTTTAGGTGTTTCCCATGACGCGGGTCATTGTAAATGTGTTGTTCTTCTTTTCTTAAACTATTTATGTGGTGGAAGGATCTATAGTTAGAAAAGATTAGATTTTATATAATCACAAGTAGTTTTCATAGTCATCAGACAATGGTTCTTGGAATCACCATGAGAAGAAAAAGCATTATTAAGGATAATAATCATTCACATTCGTCGTCAATGATAGCATGTTTTTATTGTTTGAAATGTAAATGTCAATAGCACAATCTAGCATACTACACTATGGAGCATAAAGTGGCGCGGTGCACGCCCTATGCTATTTTTATGGTATGACATAAGGGGTTAAAATAGTGCGTGATATTGGGAGGTGTAATTAACCATATGGGCTTGCACCTAACAAAAACCTCAAATGTCAGATTAAAATTTTCTCATAAAATGAGGGCAAAATCTCTGGGCAGTATCATATTTACAATTCAATTTGTATTCTAAAATTTGACACCATAATACTAAACATAAAGCTCTCTCAATAACGAGAGTTTGGGGAACGAATGTTTTAAGAACATATTAATTTGAAATGGTTATTGATATTGATATATCTTAATTGATATAAATTTAGATAATGTGCATATGACGGTTGTATATATATAAAATGATATAATACAATATAACTACTATTTTGTACTAACTTGAATGGTCATATTTCAAAATGTAAACTATTAAATGTTATTAGATTGTTTTATTGTACATTTAATAAGCTTGCATTTTATTCTCTTTTTGTTATGTTACCATAGTTAGATGTTTTAGTACTCACTGACTGTTGTTTTCTTATTATGGTCCTAATTAATATTTTTATATTAAACTGCAAAGTAAAAATGAGTAATAGAAGATAAAATATTTATAAAAGAAATTGACAATCGGAACTAAGGTAAATTTGACTATATTACTTTTTCTTTGTGGCTCTTTCAATTTTTTTGTATTATAATATATGAAAATAAAAAAATTTTAATTTCATTGTTTGACCGTTTGTTCTCCTCTTAAAAAGTCTATGCCCCTGATCTGAGTTGTGTCAAAAATGGTATAAGAGCACAATGTTTAGGAATATGTTATATACTCGTCAAGAATATGTTAACTCTAATCAAACTATATTTTTATTTTAGGAAAGTGGATGCACTAGAGATTGTAGAAGAGGGAAATGCAATAGGAAATGAAGTACTACTGGTTGCTATAAATTTGAACACGGATGCCTTAACCCAGATGATGGCAGTAATGGCGTAGCCGATTTATGAGTTTAGGCCATAGTCTTATGGAAGCGGTACTACTGTTGTCAATAAGTACTTGAAGATGTTTTAGAATTTGTGACCACAATTGTTTAAGAGAACTGAAAGGTCGGTCAAAACAGCATACTGGTTAATGCAGATAGAAAAGATACTAGATAGCATGGCATCTTCGAATAAAAAAAGTGTATCATTATGTACTTTTGTTGTGGGTGAAGAAACTGAAAGGTGGTGTGGGTAGTGTCAAGCTAGGTTAGGGGACATACCAAACATGATGGTAAATTAGGAGCATTTATGGAGCTTTTTAGAGAGTATTTTGTACTCTTATCTGCTCGAAGACAAATGTAAAACAAGTTCATCAGATTGGTGCAATGAGAGAAGAGAATCATGCAATATGAGGTAGAGTTTACTATACAATCAAGATATGTATCACAATTAATATGTATTGTTGAAGAGAAGTGCTTTAGGTTCCTCACTGGTTTGAAGGTTTTAAACAAACAGTCATTGGTGCCACTTGGGATTATGGATTATTTTGTTTTAGTAGAGACACACTCAGAAGCATAAAAAGATACACAAGATGAAGAGTATGGATGAAGGATAGCATTTGGTCTAATCAATGGGATCCAATGGGAAGAAGCCCACGGTCTATTATCGTTGATTCAGTTATTGTACGACACGTAGTACTCCCTTGTTTCAAATGTGGGCGACAGTATAAGGGTGAATGTTTGATCGGCTCTAATATATGTATTTATGTTACCTGTCAAGTCATATAGTTGGATACTACCCAGCATTTGGTCAGAAAACCTCTAAAAAACATAAACAAAGTGGAGCTTTTTCATCAAAAATTGCAGATGGGCAAAGAAGAATAGTCAACAGTTTCAGCTTCCACTCAAGGTTAACCTCAACAACTAGTTCGACATCGAGTTTATGCCCATACATAGAGAGTCGGAAGAACTCAAGTCTTTCTGATGTTGATGCTAATATGGGTTTATAAGTGTTGTGTTTTCATACATATGATATGGGTTTCATTATCTTGTGTTAAGTATTTCTCTAGTTATGTATTTCTGTTGTGTTTTTTTATTTATGTTATTTTATGTGAGATCTGATGTTATCTTTGTATGTTATCTTACTTCACTTGATGAGAGAGTTCGGTTGAGTAATCTTATATCCGACCTTTAATTTATTATATAAAATTTTCATCTTAATGAATGAGATCTAGACTTCATGAAAATTTATGATTATTTAATTTACGTGCATAATGAGAAGTGGCTTGTGGGAGGTTATAAGTTTTAAGGATAAAATTTTATATGAGTGGGGAAGATTATAATGACCAATTTAATTCTCTCATAACACAATTGTTACATGTTGATGAGTTCGATTTGAGCTCTTATAAGGAGAAGAGTGAAGATTATAGGGGTGAGGGAGTTCGGATAGAGGAGAGCAGCAGTGACTGGATGCAGTTGCATGCGAGGAAGAAAGCAGTGAAGCCAGACGAGAGCAAAAGAACTAGATGAGGATGACACCAACTCTATCCTCGAACATGTGCGTTCCTGGGAGCCAATCGACATGTACAAAGGCGGAGGAGATGCATATCGGCGGAAGCGGCATTTTTTAGCGTCAATTATAAGTAGAGTTAGGGTATTGAAGCCGTGAAATGAAGTTGTATGCTGGCCTCGTATGAGGATCAGAGCATGGGACAGACTGAAGGTTTTTTTCTCACAAGCAGGGTAGTGGAGTGGAAGATCTTTATGAATGAGCTTGAACATCAAACATTGACGAGCATAGACCGGATTTTTAGATGAAGGAATTTCAGTGTAAGATTAATTTTTATTATATTGAATTCTATTAACAAGAATGATTGATGGCAAAAAATATATATTTATTTATGTATGTATATATAATATATCTTAAAATATCTATTAGAAATATAAATTTTTTATGTGATAAGTAGAAATTCTAATTATAGTTTTATGATTAACATTACTTTTAGGGAAATTAAGAAATTAAATGTTTTAATGTAAAAAAAATTAAAAAGTCTAAATAATAATTGAAATAGAATTGATTTATGAACAAAATTAAAAGAAAAATCAAATATTTATTTAACTATGAAATTTTAAAGTAATTTTTTTAAAAATAGAGTAGAAGTTAATTAGATATTGAATAAAATTTAATACAAATTATAGATATTGATTAAAATTGTAGTATTGATGGTTAAATTAAAGTAATGTGAAACTTAAATGAAGGACTTCAACAAACAATTAAAATAACATAATTAATTTTATGATTAGTTAAACATCATTAAATAATATGTTTGAACATTATTTTTCATGATATTATGGATGTGCGTTTATAGGAGATGAAGTTTAAGGGTGATTGAAGGTTGAAGGTTTAAGGCAAGCGAATTAGATGAGGTGAGTACTCTTACCAAGTTATATTATCAATATTGACCTTTGCTAAACCAGTTGCATGGATAGTTTTTATACATGATTAATGTTTTTGTAGGACTTTATTTTGATTCATTTGTTCTTAAATTTGATTGATCATATCGATATAAATATCTTAAGTACTTTAAAATGATAAAATTTATGCATTATTTATAATATATTTTATACTGAACGATATGAAAGTGTGCCTGATATGAGCTATATAGAGTGATTGCATGTGCATGTTGACTACAATAGAGTTCATACCCTTATAATACTAACTGAGGATGCTAAAGTACTTGTGCATGTAATTGAAAAAGATTGTTGATATTAATATACCTTAATTGGTACAATTTTAAACAATCATCATGTGACGGTTGTATATATATAAAATTATATAAATATATAAATGATATAATACAACATAGTTCATATTTTGAATTATCTTGAACGGTCATATTTGAAAATATAAATTGTTAAGTACCATTAAACTAATTTACTATACGTTTAAATAGTATTCATTTTGTTATGTTTTCATTATATTACTATAATTTAAAAGTTTTAGTACTCACTGACTACAGTTAACAAATTGTGCTATTAATTAATATTTTCATGTTGAAATTACGAAGTAAAAATGAGTACGAGAAAAGGAAATATTTATGTAACATGTGGACAATCTAAACTAAAGTAAATTTTTTTGTATTACTTTAATTTTCTTTATTATTCAGTGATTTTCAATTTCCTTAGATTATAAAGTATTAGTGATAGAATATAAAAATAAAAAATTAAAATTTCACCATTCACCCCATTCTCGTTTTGAAAATTTCAAGCCCTCGGGCTAGGTCGTGATAAGTTGAGGTGAAGCATTTGAATTTGAGCATCACTTCAGTTATTTTTATCGTATAATGGTTTATCATTCAACTTACATAACACCCAATTCTTATGCATTTACTTATCTCACACCCAAACTTTGATTTTTACAAACTAAGCACATTTTCCTTTGTTTGAAAAGATGTATGAAAAAGGTGGATTACACTTTTTTCATAGATAGGGTGCTTTGGATGTAAAAATTAAAGTTTAGGTGTGAGATAAGTAAATGCATAAGAATTGGGTGCTATGTATGTAAATTCCCCTTCAATTTAATAGTCTTTTGTATTTTAAGTGCATGTTTATTTTTTTTTAGTATTTTGTGCCATGTTTTAAATAGTATGCATTGCATTATAACTTAGGTTTGCAAACGAGCTGAGTCAATTTGAGCTCGAGCCATGCCGAGCCTGAGCTCAGCTCGTCTGATAAACTTCGAGTTCAAGCTCAAGTCGAGCTCTCAAGCTTGAGCTCGGCTCGTATTGGCAGTAGTCGGCTCGCGAGTTCAAACTAAAGCTCCATTTTTACGGGAGCTTGCCTGAAAAGATATTAGTGGCTGGAAGAAAGGAGGAGGAAGAGGCGGCGGGAGCTCACCCGAAAATGCATTGAAATGTCTAGTGATAGGCTAATCGAACTGGCTCGTGAGCCAACAAGCCGAGCTGGGATGAGCTTGAGCTCGTTTAATAGACAAGCTCAAATTTGAGCGCGAGCTAGCTCGTGGCTCGATGAGCTCGGCCCATAAACTCGTTAATGAGCCGAGCTCAAGCTGGTTATCGAGCCGGCTCGGTTCATTTACACCCCTACTATAGCTTTACAGAGACCATTGCACTATGATGCACTATTTGTTATTAAGGAGTATGATTTGAATGGTGTTTTCTATAGTCCTTCACATGGAAACGGAAGATATACTGATGAGTAAAAATAACTAGCAATCAGACAAAAAGAGGGAAAACAAGAAAAATCTCAACGGTTCTTCATCAGTTCTATGTTTTTCAATATTAATTGACACAAATCAGTGTTTCTTCACATCTAAAATATTTTTTTCAGGCCTAACAGGCATGTGGCATGGTCCTTTTTGATTTGTCAGACTCATCTTTGCAATCCAGTCCCTCATTATTCTCCCAGCTTAGATTTTATTGTGTGGCTATGACTCACCTAAAAGAAGAATAATAATGGTATCACTCGAATCTTCTAGTTGACAAAGAGGATTTTGTTGTGAGCTTTTTGAGTTGAGCAATTAGTGTAAACACCAACCTCATGCAGCTCTTTGATTGATTGAGGTAAAGTGAAAATTGTATCCTTCCGCAAAGGTGTAGTAGAATTGTCTGAGTGTGTGTAAAAAGGTAATTGCCTTGATGATGAGATATTTAGAGTTGTTTTAACTGCCAGGACTCATAGTTTTTATTAATGAAGACCCAACGAAGCTAGGGCTGAAAGAACAGAGTTATCATGAGGCATTTTGATGAGGGATCAATGGGCTAAATTTAAAGCTTCTAGCAGAACATAAGAAATTATTGTGTGATTAATCCAAGGGGCCATAAGTGAATTGATATCCTGAAATAGGGAGCAAGAACAAGTGCAACAAAGGCGAGATTGTTTGAGATATGGACGTTCTTTAAGAAACGCGATTGACTTCTGAAGGCACGCCTTTGGTAATTATTATACTGTATGAACCTCTAGAGTGTGATGACATTAGTGCTCAATAATAAATGCGCACATTCAGATGGCTTGATTAAACAATCTTTGGAGATTACACCCCTATTACACACACACACATTTCAAAGCACAATAAGTGTAGCTCATAATGTTTTGAAATGCACTTCTTACCTCTACCCGTTTCAAATCCTGAATCGTGGTTATAGATTACTTTTCTATTGGCTACCACAAAACATTCAAGGCTATTGCTCTTCAATCAATAAAAATTGCATAAGCAGAAGGATGCAACGGAAGATGCCATTGCTACAGTTTTGACTATCTTTTGAAGATCAAAAACATAGTTTCTTTAGGAAAAAACATTCCTTTTTTTTTATCTAACAACCTCCATGCCAAGGAAATACTTTAAAGATCTAAAGTCCTTGGTTTTAAAGACTGATAAGAGGGATTCCTTCAACTGATTCATTTCATTTGTCATCTCCGATGAGAATTTATCATCTTCATATACGATTAATTTGGCTATCTTCTCATCCATTGAATGCATGAAAAACACTATATGATCTCTTTGCCCTTGAGCATATACCCTGACTTTTAACAAAAAATATAAACTTTTCAAGCTATGCTCTCGGTGACTGTTTCAATCAGTACAAGGATTTTGTTAGTTTACACACTTTTGTGCTAAACTTCTCATTAAATTATGGAGATGCATCCATATACACTTCTTTCTAAGTCTCTATTGAGGAAAGCATTTTTTATATCCAACTATTGTAGGGACCGGTCAAGATTAGCTACAAATGACAAAAGTATCCTTGCAGAGTTTTAGTTTGATAACTAGAGCAAATGTTTTTAAATAATCAATGTCATATATCTGATTAAATTTCTTAACTAGTTTAGCCTTGTGCTATTTTAAGAAGTCATTAGAATTATACTTGATTGTAAATACCTATTTGCATCTAACTGTTGTCTTTCCTCTTGATAAATCAATTGCTTCTTATGTACCATATTTTTCAACGGTATTCTTCTCTTAAAAAACAACCTCCTTTCATTTAGGGACTTTCAGAGCATCCCGCATAGTTCTAGGATATTCATATTCAATAATTGTGAGGTAAAAGGATGGAAAGTGGGCGAGAGGTTTTCATATGACACCTTATGGGACAATGGATGTTGGATGCACGACCTTTCTCTAATGAAAAGGCTAGACTCTAAAGACTTGGGATTTAATTTAGGCTCAATTCAGGACTAGAATATTCTGAATTTGAAGATGAAGTGGATTGAGCATGAGGTAAAGGATTAGTGAGTACATTACTTGGGTATACAGATTCTAGGCAGTATAAAGGATTTATAGAACCTTTCTTTTGGGTTATCCTCTGTCATGAGTAGACAAGATCAAACGGTGTCAATGCTATCGTTTTTTTTCGTGTTTCTTCGTTGTTATGAACATCATGAGATGACATTGTAGTAACTTCAGTATCTAAATAACTCGACTCACTCTCTTCTGATATAATTACGGTTGGGGACATACAATTTTAGAAATTTTTATATTGTAACTTCTGTTCATCCGCCATAAAGTTGGTATTATTTGTAAACTTTGGTGGACTACGCCTGCAGTGCTTGGGATTGTCTGTTCTTTGTTCCTGCGTTGAAGACATTTTTCCTACACCTACCTATCAAACTAGGAGAGCTATTTTTATTTAACTGCATGGCTCTGTCTTTCATGTTAATAGCTGTAGCTTTTGATACAATCTTTTATAGCAGATCTCATTGTTTATGATTGAATTGAAATTGAGAAAATGAATAGGAAATGGAAATGAAAAAGGTGAAGTAATTGAGTACAATTTAGTTTTCACCTTTTTGTTTCAAGGAGAAATCATGAGTTTCAATGATGATGCAGTTAATTTTTCTCTCTTTCTCCACTGGCGTTGAGCAAGAACTTGCTATTGAAACAATTATGTCTCAATATTTTATAGATAAATCTAATTTCATATATATTACATTACTAAAAATCAAAAGTGAATTTGTGGAGTAAAATTAATATTTCCTCCAATCCTTCAAAAACATTCCTAAATATTTTGAGTTTGCAAAAATGATTGCAGTATCTTTGGAGGCTGATAACATATGATATGTCTGATAAGTAACTCATGTGGCATGATTCTCCACAATCCAATTCAGAGAGAGTCCAAATTCCATAAAATAATTAGGGATATTTACATACATACCACTCAATTCTTATGTATTTACATATCTAACACCTCAACTTAAATTTTTGCACACATGCCACATTACCTCTGTATTAAAAGGTGCATTTCACTTTTTAAAAAGTTAAAATGGTGATATGTTCGATGTGATATGAAAGATTTGGGTGGTGTAAATGTAAAAAAGCAAAGTTTAGGTGTTAATTATGTAAAAACATAGGAATTGGTGGCATTATCTAAATGTTTCGGATAATTATTAGAAATTTTCCTTATCAACTTGTTCGTTATATTAACAGCTCTTCTCTTCTCTTTTTGGCAGAAAATCTTGAGTACTTCACATGATCTGTCCTCCTTCCCTAAGCTCCGAGTTGAACTCAGCATGAGGAAGCCCCTGTGCATATTGGGCGATTGAGATTTGCACATTTTATTGGGACCAGAAATTCATGAAGACTGACAAATTTGGACACACAGACTTTTCAAATAGTGCATAATTTAGAGGCATGTACGTACGCTTATGTCTAATTTGTCTCCTGTTAGGAGACCTCTTCATAGTTAAGGTGTCAACTTGTTCTTAGTAGAAAATATTTAATGAATATTTCAATGCCATTGATTAATTATAAACATTTTTGGGAAAACCCCCCATAAAATTCTTATGTATTTACATATCTAACACCTACCATTTGATATTTACACCTATAACATCTTGTTGTCATAAACCTATGCATGAGAAGGTATTTTTCACTTTTGAAAAAGCTATGACGGTGATATTTTTATGTCATGTTAAAGATTTGACTGATATGCATGTAAATATGAATGTTTTAGATATGTAAATACATAAGAATTGTGTGATATGCATGTAAATTCCCCTAAATATTCTAACAAATGTTGTTGTAAAAATCAGCTTCTCAAAGAGATCTCTGAAAAGTAGTGAGAAAGCTTCATCAACCAAATACAGATACAACTATTTCACTGCATCAATTGACGGCTTTTATATTGGTAAATTTATCTTTATCTTCACGAGACTGATGCGAGATCAGAAGTGTTGAAAACCAGAAAGCTGCAGAAGCTTTTTGTTTTACCTTCTGCCTTCATTTTGTGACTAATATCATCTGTCATTCGTGTTTTAGCTTATCAGCTCCATGCAATTTTAATTTTATTCATCTTTTTTAAGAAGTACCTTTGTTGTAGTAGGGGTGTAAATGAGCTGACTCGGCTCGTGTTCGGGTTGAACTTGACTTATTAATGAGCTTAGAGTTGAGCTTAGCTTTGTTGAGGCAATCTCATTACATAAATTAATCTTACATTTCATATTATAAATATTTTTTTTTATATTTATTCATTTTAATATATTTTTATCAAAATTGAGCTTTCTAGCCTAACTTGAGCTAGGTGTAATTGCCATGAGCTATGTTGGAGCTCGAGTTGAGGTTTGAGCTAACCATACGTCTCGCAAGTCCAGCTTGAGTTTAATGCCAGTTAACTCGACTGCTTGTACATGTCTTGCATTTGAAGGCAGTAGAGAGTTTATTGGAGTATTGCAAGAATTTGATGTCATGGGGTGGTAATTGTAAAGTATTGGAATAATTCAAATATCATGTTCGTCTTAGAAAAAATTAGCGCATTAGGAATCCTGATGTAGTTTTGCATCAAGACTTCAATCAGGGTCTGTCACGTGTACAGGCAGACCCAACTATGTATTAAATTGGGGGTTTGTATGTACATGTGGTAAGTCCTTATTAAAGTCCAGATACAAAATTGCATCAAGACTCCTGATACAATAATATCTCTCATCTCACAAGTGCAAGCAAGTCCAATTTAGTTTGCGCTGAGATAAACTTGAATTCAACACCAATTTTTCTTGAGCTTTAACTCCAGCTCGATAAGTAGCTTGTTGAGCTCTACAATGTAATGGAAGCACAATAATTTATTAAGATTTATCATTTTATTCAAAAATATTCTTTATATATATATATAATAATAAATTATATAAATAAGCTTGTTTGATGGGTGGGTCATGTCATTAGGGGTGTAAACGAGTTAAACACGAGTGAGCCCAGGCTCAGCTTGTGTTCGGCTCGTTTATATTTCAAGCTCAAAAAGTGTGTTTGTGTTAGGTTCGTTTGTTTAGCGAGCCGAACATTGGTCGTTCACGAATAAATAGCCGTTTTGACAACCCTAGTCACGTAGCCATAAGAAGTTAAGGATTGGGGCAAAATTTAAAACATCATTTTGAATTTAATTTAATAATTTTTATTCTATTTTTTTAATTAATATTTTTAATTAATTATAAATTTTTGTAGCCTTGTAGTCAATTAATTTTTTTAAAAATACTACTCATTATATATATGTATATATTATTTTTTTTTTTAAAACAAACTGTTTATTCTTGTGTACTACAAGTCTACAACATACACAAAGCTTGAAGTAAATAAAGTAAATCACATTAAAGTTAAAAAGGGTAATGTTATAAATACACAAAAGTTTCAAAGTTTAAATGTAAGAAATATATAAAGTGCGCCATGATATTTATTGGAATATTTAGTTCAATGAGACCATAATTGTACCTTCATCTTGAGGCCGGAAGCCAGGTGACGTTTATTGTTTGTGGGAGATAAATATCCCAATTTCACGAAATATTGAGCTGCAGTGTTGGGGCAAAGGACAGCCTCTCAATCGGTGGCTAGTTTCCTTCTAGCAGCCCTAGCATTATCATACTCAAACTTGAGCACATTTGGCATGTGAGATGTGTCTTTGATGTATAGAAACCGCCCAATTGCGCTTTCCTCGATCGATCGAAAGTAATCCGCCAATAGATTGTTAACTATCCAGTACCAAAGCGCGCCTAAGAAGGGTCCGAGGATTGCCCCACCGAGAACTTGGACAATGGTGTGGTATCCCAAGTAAATGGTATCCCAAGTAAACCCTAGAATAGAGAGTCAATATGGCTGCAGGCCACGGAAACAGGGCTGTTAGAAATCTCGATCGCCGGGAGGAAACGCCTTCCCCGGTACCGCTGAGGCATAAAAGGGAGAAATATGTGGAGAAGAAGAACATGTACTGCGAGTGACTAGATGGCCAACCGTATGAATTGCACATCTCTAAGGCGACGCAAGTCTTGGGGCGCGACTGCTGCACTGATGACTTGATGAGCTCGTTGAGGAACTTAGAGAAGATGAGACCGAGAGCGAAATAGAGACACTGTAACTCTCGTCGAAATAAGAAGTGGGTGACGAGCCGCCAAGACTAATGAATATAGGAATCAGCGAAACCCATGCGAGTAAGTGGCCTAGGGAGTCACCCCGATGGTACCGGACATGGGTGAGTGTCACCGCCTTGAGCAGCTACGGCGTCGATGGTATGGATTCCATTAACTTCAGTCAGTTGTCATTGTCGAAGAGGGAGGAAGGAGATAAGACGAAGACGATTGAAGCTTCTGGGCTTAATTGTTATATATATATATAATTGATTAGTAGTATTTCGAGCTAAAACGAGCTGAACACGAATGAATAAATATTTTTTCTTGTTGTTCGTGTTCAGCTCGTTAACTTAGCGAACGAGCCGAACACGAGCTTCTTAATGAGCCGAACACGCTGAACACGAGATGTTCATGTTCGCGAACAACGAGACGGTCGTACGTGTCATAAGAAGTCATGTTTAAAATATGATCTTGTTAGCCTATGCTCATAGCAGTACATATTGAAAAGATTGACAATAGTTAAGGGTGGAACTAGGTAGGGTACAAGGGGGCAATTGACATTCTATTAATTTCAAATTTTTATTTATATGTGAGGGTAATTTTGTCTTTTGTCTCTCTTAAAATATTAATTTTGCCCTTCCTGAAATATTATTTTATTTTTTTGTTGTCCTAGCCCCTTATACTAACAGTCAGGGGTGGAGCTAGGTAGGGTCCATGGGGGGCAACCGGGCAATTGCTCTTCTAATTCAGATTTTTATTTATATGGAAGGATAATTTGATCTTTTGCCCCTCTTAAAATATTATCTTAACTTCTGCTACATTGGGTCTGAAGGGACAGTTTACATCCTAAAATAATAGACTGATGATTCTGACAAGTAGTTAGAAGTTCTTTTTCTTGCAAAATAATAATTTTTATAACCCTTGCTTTGTAAAATGAAAAAGGCAAATTATAATTTGATGAAAGCACGTCATATGTTCAATAAGAAGCAATACTTGCATTACGAGTGTGAAATAAAATTTTGTAGGATTTCCATTTTTGGCTCTCTGTCTCATAATATTCAAAATTGGCTAAGTATATTTGTCAATTAGATAAATGCTCACAAATTTACATTAAATAAAAGTACTATGTTTTATAAATTGAATAAAGCTCTCATGCAATGAGTTGCGTGAAGTTTCAATGAAGGCCGCATGTTTTTATTACTTATATTTGTGTGTGTTTAATTTTCATGTAACGCTAAGATGTTAAATTATTATTCTACCTTAACAAATATTCTGGCACGCAGCAAGTCTAGCGAGCATAGCAGAAAATTATCTCATAAAAATTCATTCATCTCTTATTATAGATATTATAATTGAGGGTTATATATGTAAAACTTCCAATGAGCATGGTCTAGAGGTTGTCCCATAGTACATGCCAGTGTAGCAAACAGAGGCAATCCAGGCAGTGGCAGGCAGCTTCCAATGTCGTCGATCGTAGACTTCGACTCTTAGGAGGAACATGCCATTCGATGCCCGTTGCCGCTAACTGTGTAGCTAACTTCCGTTGACCTCCTTTTCTACCCTTTGGGGTTGTTTGATTTGCAAGCAGAATTTATCTTAATTAGAATTTAACAAATTTTATAAATCTGAATTTATTAAATTCTAAGATGATTAAATTTTGATAAATTTTGATAAATTATTTGGCAGTATAACAAAATTTATAAGATTGATTTATCAAGATTTATTGAACATCCGAAGATGAATATTAAATAAAAAATAATAAATGAATATCTAAAATTCAAAATATATAAAAAAAAAAGTATTTGCATTAATCAATAATTTAACATTAATTAATTATTAATTATGTAAATTTAAAGTTATTTAAAATTTTATCAAATAATTTAAATTTTAAAATAGAAATTTAGTTATTATTAATTAATAAATGATTACATATAAATCAACAAAATTATAATTAATTTGATAATATATAAATTATTAATTAATTTTTAATTAATTAAAGTAATAACATTAACTTAAATAAAAATAAATTAATACTACAAACTTATTTCCTGATTCCTAATTTTCGATTCCTCTATTTGCCCGAAAGACATCCTACCACTATCCCTGTTTCGCCCAAACTTCCTATCTCAACCCAAAACCAAGTTGTCCTTGCTTATATCAGGAGAAAATATTGCATCAGGACTCTGCACGTAGAGTTACATGCAGAGTCTAATGAAATCACGCTACATGACTATGATAGAAATAAAATACCGCTAACAAGAGAATATTGTTTTCTTATTATTCAAATATTATTATGTGTTATTTAGATATTATTATGTATTATTTAAATATTATTGTGTTATTATAACAAGTTCGCACTCCATCAGAGTCCTGATCCTATGTTAGCGGTTTCGCCCGAAACCATCGCCTTCCTGAACGAACTTCCGCGAGTCGCCATTG